CCTCAAAAATTACAAGCATCACATCAATTCCGGTATCTGTTGTGATCTGTCTTTCTGTTAGTTTCTTTGATTAATAATTATAACAAATATTCTGTTTTATGTTACATACTACTGTTCAATAAACATAAAATGATAAAACCCTTACATATTGATGATGGTTTCATAATCATAGTTGCTATATGATAATTCCCAATGAAGGACCGTCAGTATTGTGGAATGCTGTTATCCGAACAGAAAAACGGAGACGTTTATTGAAAAGAATTACTGTGTTTACATTTTGCTTAGTAATTCGCAATTTCTAAGATGTGGCCTCAGAGCCTACCGTTTTGTTTGATAATAAACGTTACAATGCCATAGATATCTTCAAAAGATGGTTTCAGCAAGCATTAATACTTTGGCAACATTATCTTATTCGCAGTAACTGAGAGTAATTCTATTGATGTTTTAACGGAACGGTCAAGTAAGATGACACAGCCTGGACGGACTTGCTTAATATACCGATTTGTAATTTAGCCACGACAGTTCGTCCTTTGACTTGAAAGGATTCAGTTTATGTCTGTATCTTCAAGGAAATAGTCATCAAACAATGCTTGTAGAAACATGATAAAAACTCATTAAGAGATCCCAGCCTTGCTCTGATAGTTAGATTCTTAAAACCTATTCTTTCAACCCCTCTGAGGAAAGTGCTCCGGATTTGTGCCAGGTTCTGTACTGTAACAAAACTTGTATATAACACAATGCAATATGGCGTATGGTAAATGGACATGAAGTTGGATTTACGTGCTGTATGGGACGTCTGACCAAAATATTTCTAATATTGAACGTATAAAATGTAATATGTTATAATATATAATGTATAGGCTAATTGTTGGCTATTCGTTGATATGGTAAATATACTTACATCGGTAATAACTACATTTACGAACATTCCAAACGTCTTGTTTTCACTCCCGTAGTGGGCCAGGGTGTTTTAACAATTATTGTAAATGAACAAGAAGTCAAATTGGCATTCTTATTTTGATACGGGTAGCTGAAATATAGGTCTACCAAAAAAAGTTGATAAATGGTTTATATACAATAGAAGTTTAAAGTTAGTGCAAACCAATTTCTGATAATGAGCTGATAACGAAGACAACTTTGGTGGGCGCTCTGCTGAAAAACAAAACCAAATTATACCATCAGCACCCATCATAACTACTAACATTCGTGGTGCGTAGGAAGTGTGTGTCTTTTGTTGTTGTGATTTGCGTCTATTTAATCTGAAAAAATAGATACTTTAAAGGTTAACTATTTTAATTTATCAAGATAGAAAATGATTATTTTTACCAGAAAAAACACACCATGGGGAAAAGAGATCAGAACATGGATTTAGTTTGCCAACAAAATGTTTACGAGTATAGTGGGAGCAAAACCAATATGTCAGCAATTTTTCATTCTTTCAAATGATTAATGAATATTCTTCCGATTTCCTGGGTATATGGAGTGATATTTTCCGATTTTTTTTCATATTTATTTAGTATAACACAAATATTTATTTAGAAACACGCAAAGACAAATTCCATTTATTATGGAGGGTTCTTTGTTCTGTAATTTACTGATATCACCGAAACGTGAAAACAGATACTTGGGTGCAATTTCCGAATTGTCTAAGATTCACAGAATCTTCAATCAAAAGACACGAATCTTTACCGGAAAAGGCGATTGACAAGGATTCGACATGCTTCAACATGGACACATTGCTATTAAGGTCATTTCATAAACGTCACGTGGTGTTTGTCCTCAAATCCAATCAGTTCGTTTCATTAACACCGAGTCCCTTTTATTGATACTTTGTATTCCACGCACTTTGATTAATCGCATAACATCTCCTTTAACCGAATTGCCAGACAATAACTTGGATATGGTAAACAAATTCGATAGTTAAAGCGCCATGGCATACTTATAACGCCAGAGAAATGTTCTCAAACGCCATATACTCGAACATTAACGCAGCATCTTTAATAATGGCCGAGTAAAGTAACCATCAAAGTAACTAAATCGCATTCCCAACAATTTATAAAAGTCATTTATTCAGAAATGGGTCGTGTTACACAAGTTTTATGAGCTACCGTCTTGTAATTTACGCTACGTAATTGTTTTATCGATACAATTTGAATATTTTTATATTTCAAGCGTTCGTTTGTAATGTTAGAAAGTGCCATTTTGTAATTGATTTTGTCTTGTTTCCTACTTGCTTTTTTTCTTTGTAATTTTACAAATTGTTGTGTTTAAATTTCTGGTTGACTTCTGTTGAGCGACGAGATTTGGTTTCATTAGGGACGAATCAAATGTTTTATTTAAGTACGATGTCTTATAATTGAAAGACTCTTTATTGTTGACGCTGGCAGTTTTCTAATAAGAAACATACAGATTCAGTTCTATAGGTTTTGAGATTTAGTTATCTTGAGTCGCCTAATTCCTTAACAAATACTTCAAACAAGGAATTTTACTCACCATGTCTATATATGTCTTTTCTATTGTATATCACAGAATATCTTAAAATGATAAAATGATTTTAACATTCAAACGGGAATAATTCTAGACACACATGGAGTTTAGGCTCAGATTTCGACTGTGGGCTGAGAACACTATTTCTGATTAGCCTAGCTAAACAATATTCCCGTTTCTGAGACTAAGGTACGATTAGCAAATAAATAAAATGACGCATCTGTCCCTTTAAAAATGATTTGGAATAATTTGCCATTGAAAGGGAATTGTAAAAGAAGGAAGAGACGTAAGAGGTGCTGAAGAATTATATAGGATGGCGACAGGAGTGGTCTGGCGAATTGAAGCTATTTCCACCCACCGCATTCCAAATTTATAACATAAATAATCCGCAAATTTGTTTGAAAATCGGGAAACAAACACTAGGATCCAATAATCAAACTACGCCCCTGTTTCCATTATCACGATATTCTTTTCCACTTATTTGAATCGAAACAAAAATAGCTCCACTCATATAACTAATAAGTGATGATGACTATATATAGGTTTACTGGAGTAGCAGAACATCTTAATCCGTCACATCTGCTTTCAATGTCTTCTACATTAAGTCAAATGAGTCCATTTCATACCGTCTGGTACATGCAAGTTCAAAATCATTGTCAGTGATGCCTTATGCCAATTCTAACCACTGTCACGCTTGTTGGACTCAATAGTTTGGTTGCGCTTTATTCTCATTAATCTGGAAAATGACATGTTTTCGACCTCCATTCTGCAAAACCTATTATGCAATGGGTTTTTTTTCCCAAAGTAAACCGATATGGAAGACATTAAGAAAAATAAATTAGCCTAAATTTCTTTCCAATTTCTTAAAACAGTTATCTTTTTATTTTTTTGATTTGTCCAATTTGATTGATTGATTGATTGATTGATTGATTGAAAATCAAGTAAATTAGTGGTAAATCTTGGTAGTCAGTGAATCAATCCGTCTCCACCTTCCTAATGGTCTTCAGTCCTTTAAGTACTAATCTCTTCATTAAATATTCTCTTACATCTCTATATCCTTGAAAATGTCGTCATTTCATTAGCAGTCGTAAATGGTCTGTGACGTTGGAATTTAAATTTATGTTGTTGGTCAACGTCATGAACGGAATTAGATGTTTGTTTTTTGTTTTGTGATTTTGTATTTCCAGAGGACTGAAACTATTCAGTTTAGTTTGCTCTGCATTGTAATCTGAGAAGTTTTCTACCAAAGGCAATATGTTGAACATATTTCTTAAAAAAAAATGTGAAATTGTGAGTTTCTTATTTCACTACTGCGTGTTTCGCTATCCCACAATTCATTACTTTATCATGAAATGGGTTTTACATGACACGCCATGATTGGCTAAAAATACTACCTTTGGGACAGGCCTTTGATAGAAAACTTTTTATATTACAACGTAGACTAAAAATGTCAGAAAAAAATACGAAATTGTAATTTAATTTCAATTAGATTGTGAACAGACGCGCGTACACGCACAGGTTGGTAACTCAATGTCAGCACGATCTTTAGATTAGGAAGCTATTGTGAAATGTGTACAGAAACCCTTAATTTTAAGAAATATTGGAAAGGAAGAAAGACCTGTAGAATTTGATAATTTAGATCGGCAAATTAGATACAAAAATTTTTGTTGAAAGATAAGTTTTGAAACTTTTTGGGTATAGTAAATAATATCATACAATGCAAAAAACATATTTGCGAAACATAAGTAACTTCTAATGAGCTGTTTTTAACAGAAAAACGCTGTTTGTATTTTTCTTTCAAACTGAATAAAGTTTCGTTCGGCTGTGTAAATATATCTGAACCATGATACCTGTTTTATCAACGTCAGCGTTATTTATACACTTCTGGTATATGTGGTTAGGTAGTTGTATAATTGTGGGGGAGTACCTTTAAATCATCAGACGACAACTCGAATTCGTTACGCAAAACCGTCAAATTTCACATTTAATATTGAACTTTAATATAATGAGAACATATTTACATGGTACTTTCAAATGTTTAATTCTCGTTCGCCTTCGATTATCGCCCTTGTTCAATGCCAAACACTATCTATTTCTTATTGACTAATTTTGCACTTGTCTACAGCCGTATATTGTTACTGCAAGAAAGTAAATTTATATAGAGGAAATAGTCATCGACCACCTAAATAATGGCTTCATCCACCAAAAACCATTCAAAAGGAAAGTCAATACTGGCTCTTTCTATATATTCTACAAATTTCTAAGGCTTTTTTCCATGGTCATCAGAGGAAGTAATTTTGTCCGACGTAATCACACATTCTGAATGAAACCTCAAATATTCCATCATAATGTTCTTCATAATCGTAGACAGATTTTTCATCAGAGTCTTAAAGCAAATAGTCGAGCTAGGCAAAGTTATGTACGCCTACATGTAAATCTATTGTCACAATCTGGCGATATTGTAATGTTTCGTGCTGTTTTCTGTTTTAACTCAGCTTGCCATCACTAATCTGATGGAATGTGATGAATCTTCTGTTAGGCGTCATCAACCAATATTATGGTCTAAAGATTCCTTACTATCTGTGATAGACATTGGTCAACACTTACATATGACCACCTTTGATGAAATGATTCAGTTGACGAGGTAAAGAAGGGGATGGTATACCTTGCTTTCTCGGCTGTCATACTTTGGCACCACATATGTAACTAGCTCCGTCCATTAAAAATATGATGATCTCTAGTTATAAATAATGACCAGTTACAAGATTAAACATTGAATATGTTATTTTGTTCATAGCAACTACTGTTCTATTTCTCATTTCTTTGGCGAGAAATTGTCCAGAGCAACTGTCATTGAGCAACAGTCCGGTGAGCAGCTGACCGTATGTCCCTTTGTTGCCATTGGGACAAATGATCAGAACAGAACGCAATATAATGGATGGCAAGTGAAGAAGCATCCATATCTGTAGTGTATTCATATCAAATTGATATTGCCATTTCATCAAAGACATTGAAGATGTGGGTTTTCTCGTGGGTGGCTCTAGCTCTAATCCTATAAAGAGATTGTAATTCTTTTAAATTTTTTTACAGAATATTGAATATTTTTGGTATGTTTAATCTGTTCGCATATTACATTTATTAACATTAATGCATCGTTAAAGAGAATGTGTGTCAGTGTCGAATAAAACACACCAGGGTTTTACATGTCTTATATTCACAGTGTTCTTAGCCAGTGTGACTTTAAGTTGCTAATAATAAAAACTAAAAGGGATATTGTGTAATATTTTCTTTCATAAATCTTGATAATGTTTGCTTTTCTCTAGTTTACTATAAAACTGACTCTAATATTGCGATTTATTCACTTAAGCAGCTTTCTTGTTTTTTATTGGACGGAAATCATCCTTAAGAACCTCATAAAGTAGTACTTATTGAATATTTGAAGGAGAACTGTCGGTAATCGAAACCAAAAATTTTGGATGATCAAACTTTTATGGCTCGGCCATTAGGTCCTTTAAGTCTTCAAACTAGTAATATTATATACACTTGGAAAATCCTTTATAGTCTCCAGTCTCCAGGTTCATCATCAAAATCTATTTCACTTGGGAAAGAGTTCATTTATCGTTAACGGTGTTGCAAAAGATTTTCAATACTAGATACTGGGAATCCCCAGAACCTAAATTATATTTGATATCTTTCAAGATTCCAATATCCAAGCGTATTTCACGGCCGAGGAACGGCCAGATTTGTCGGGCTAATTACATGATGGTAAATTTGAGAAATGTCTGAACTAACAATAGGGTTATTAGACCAAATAGGCGCTTTAAGTATCTTGTTGAGTACAATAAGACTTAAAAACCGAAGTGAACACAGCTATCGTAGTCCAAATACACAACACAGAGACTAAATAATATGTAAATTAAAAAAACTGAGTCGAATTGATAACATGGGCAATTGGCATAATGGTTTAATGTTTGAAGATGTTCTAAGCCTTTTATAAATACAGTCAGCATGATTATAGCATTATTTGTTGTCTGACTTTAATTATTTGAAATTACAAGAACCAAAATACCAAACAAAACAATCAGACAGTCCATACTGTTCGGTTTAATTACCATATTTATTATTAATTCTTTAGACTGTCCCAAGTTCTTCCTTCAGCCCGATAGCTTTTAGGGCTGAAGTAAGATTCTAGGTATCTCTATGGGGAATGATTACCAATTAGGATCACATGATATTGCTCCGTGAAATGGTACCCATCAAGAACGCATTAACCTTTTACGTAATTAATGATAGACCACGTAAAAAAACACAATACCGCCTCTGTAAATGAAATACCCTTAAGGGTAATTATGTGCTGCTCTGTAAATGATTAACTAATTCGAAACACTCAATGACAACCCGATGACCAATAGTTACCATTATTTTCATGGGTGTAGGGTGCAGATCAAAGGGACTTATTTTTTATCCATTCCATGTCGAAAAAAGATTTGAAATCTAAATGGGTGTGCTGTTTTAAGTTTGTCTTTTTTTCACACCAATGACTGTTTACTTCCAGTTTTCAGTTCAATTCGTTTTCATTAGCTCTAAATAGCTTTCTAATAGTCTGGAGAGATACAAGTAGACAAACATGTTAAAGTCCTTGAAAATATTTACAGGTCTGTGAAGATTTGAGGGTTAATTAATATTTTCGAGATGTCTAACGGGAATAAACATACAGTATTAAAATCACTGCTCTTATTATATGCTTGGACTATTTACTGACAGTTTTAGGTATGATCATATTAACAAGGGTATTTACCGTAGGTTTATACCTAACTTCATATTAAATATATTACATAGATTTTGTGGTAGGTTTCAAACACAAATTGACAAATTTCTTCTCTTTATAACCATTCTGGCTAAATATTTTACAGTATAAGGTTACCTTCCCTATGATCGATTTCGATGCTTGGAATTCTTTGTGCATAAGAAATGCCAATAATGAACGCAAATCTGCGTGATGGACACGATATGTAAAAGTACAAATCACAAATGTTTGAAGCATTTGGTAATCTTAAAATGGATATTATTGTTTATAATTTTCGAGCTTATCTATTTATCTGTTATACTTTTCTACTTAAACTTGAAATTGTAGACACACTTTACGTTGTAATTCCACTCTGAAAAGGAATACTGATAGCGCAGTAAACTGATCAAGCTAAATCAGTCCAAAGACTTGTAATTAGAAAAGTGAATCTCAATATAACACAACACAATAACGAAAGTTCATAATAAAGTTAGTGTTAACCTAGTGAAATGTAGAGCAGGGCTTGGCATAACCTTTCAGATTCATTTATTTTTAAATAAATAATTAATCCAAACAGTAATTTCCACACATGGAGGAAGAAATTCCATTGAACATTTCATTTCTCTAGGAAACGCAAGATAATCCATACAAATCACTTAAAAAAAATCGTGAACAATCAATCATACCGGAAGTGAAATGAAAACAAACAAAAAAGGCGTTAGATTGTGGGTGGCAATCATGAATAAATAATATTCTCTAATTGACAAATAACAACTTGAAACAATTAAAAACTATTTTATTGTCATGTGCGTTAATATTTAATAAAAGGGGTCTCAAATCGACTGAAAATTCAAAGCATTGGCTGACTATGAGCAACATGTATAGGGCACCAGAGTCAGTTAAGATCCAGTATTTGATTGAAAGTAGAAACAAAGCAGCTGGTGGCTACTGGTGGCAACCGCAAGAATACCAAGCACTAAAATGCAAAAAATCCTAGTTGTATAGAGGAAGTTCACACATTCCTAGACTTGTGTCATAGTGATTTTTGAGGATGATTTGCAGGTTTACTTTTTGATATCGATATAATTACGACGATGTATCCTATTTCACCAACTATGATTTGTTTGTTCTTTATTCTTTCAAGACTATTTTTATGTATTATGCTTTAATGTTTTATCGTCATATTTTCTTTGAGAAGCCTATATAGAGGGTCAGCAGCGGTGAAGGTTGTAACTAGCATTGTGAATTCTTTCTAAGGACATAATGAACTAAGATTTACCCGATAAGCTTTTTGGTGCGTTCTTCGAATTAATTAGTACAAATTCCGACATTAATTAATAAAGACATAGAGAACATGAACGCAATGTTCACTAGGGTATAACGTGAAAGTTAAGATTTCTTTTAATATCCTTATTAATATTAACCTATCCAACCCACTCATTCAGATATTTCATAGAAAACCGACGAACACCGACATTTCAAAGAAAATTTGATCCGCCGACATCTTATTTATGATGACCTATCAAAATTCCTCCAAAGTCTGCGATATCAGCTTCTGCTGGAAGCGAACGTTAATCAACTTTATTGTCATCTACGGACAATCTTACCACTTACTTGTAATTTTCGGCTGAACATATAACATACCTTTCTTACAAAGACAAGTTGTTACTGGTCAGATGAATTATTTGTATAAGAAAATCCGGAAAAACAAAAAATTACCACTCTTCGGCACAGTTCAATATAATAACACTGAGGATAAATTTAGATCGAACTTTTAATATTTAATTTACTGAGCTTAATGTCCGTCTGCCACAGAGACAACACGACCCAAAACCTTTTGAAACATCTGTTCACCTTTAATTTATAAAATATCATTGGGTTTGTGGGAGGCTGGACGTAACTTGAAATAAATCTCCAAACGAAATTAACCTATTTTCCACAGACTTAATGAAAGAAAATGCCAGGTTGACCCTGAACACTTTGATGTGTCAATCACATCCTGTCCATATCCATTATTCGTTTTAAATCAAGATAGACCATCGTCTTAGTTTTCAATTAACCGGAAGTAGAACTATACAGCATCGGGCTTATACAAACATGCGTGGCCAATATGTAAAAAGAAAGCGACGTTCGCCAAACAAGTTCAGCCGTCAAATCTTGCCAATTACGACAATCAAAATATTATCTAGGAAAGTGAGAAATCAATGATACTATTTATTCGCTCTTTGATTTGATTCTTGAGATTTTATATGAAAAGTTATGCAGAAATTATTGAATTTTCATAGTTTAACCTGGATATTACACCAATTCATAAAGCCCCTGATATTTCTTATGATCTAATCCGGTTTCTGTCAAGCTAGAAAAAGAGGGGTTGGATGCCTGATGCGTGCGCTACATTGTAAAGCCGTAACTTATTAAATTCCGTCTTCCTCCCACGACTATCCCTACATAACTACAAATTGAGGTGGACACAGGTGATGGCTATTTATAATGCCAAACCCTCGTATTGACTGATTTATCGTAAATACTGGTGCCGATCAGGTTCGAGACAACATTTAATGTTTCCTGGAAGTAGAGCATGAAACAATTGCCAGCATGCTCTCAGCTCAACTAAATTGAGTTGTTAGAGGTTGTTATCAGCATCTGCTGATTTTTCAGATTTGCTTGTAATTTGATAAATTGTCATTCTTTTTTTGGAATTAATTGTTAATAATGTTTTCAATCACTTTTTAATCTTATAATGAAGCCCCAATGCTCTGTTGGCGTACATCGCTGCATGATTTCTCTTTGCGCCTTGTACTGAAATAGGTCGATCTATAACCTAAAGTCGTTGATAGTGCTTATTTCAAACAACCGTCGCTACATACAAATTAAATCTTTTCAAACATGTCTCACATATATATGTCAGTTCTTAAACTTTTTTTTTCGACTGTAATGCTTTTGTAAAGGCATGATGGTTTCTCAAGATCTATTTTTTTCTATCATTGTCTCTTGTTTTGAAGAAAATATCGAATTATCCATTGTTGTAGAGAAAGAATCACAGAAGGCAACAAAATGACTCCCTTGGCGTCTTCCATCCTAATCAAATATAATTCTTTTTATTATTCCAGGCAAATAATGGAAATCAACTTAGTCTTTTCCCTACTACTAGTTTGCTCAATCAGTTTTGTACTCTCACATCCTTTCACAGATGATTCCAACAACGATGATCAAGATTTAAAATCAGCAATCCAAGATGGCGACACAGTACCACAGGCAGTCAAACGACCCAGCAGCTTTGTTCGAATAGGTCGAAACCCAAGTTCTTTTGTAAGGATAGGAAAAGCCTTTGGTCGGTTCATCCGAATCGGGAAAAACGATCCCAATAAAAGATTGTCCAGTTTTGTTCGAATTGGAAAAAGCGATCCAAACAAAAGAATATCTAGCTTTGTTCGAATAGGAAAAAGTCAAGAATTTAACCAAGAACCAGAAAAAAGACAATCGAGCTTCGTTCGCATCGGAAAAAGTCCTGAATTAAACGAAAATGAAATTCCGAATAAGCGATACTCTAGTTTTGTGAGGATAGGAAAAAGCATGGATGATGGCAGTTTAGAAAATCCTGACAAGCGGTATTCAAGTTTCGTACGAATTGGAAAAAATATTGAGAACGAATTAACAAATGCAGGTTTAGAGAAGAGACCATCGAGCTTTGTTCGAATAGGTAAAAGCTATTTCGCCGAACCAGGTGATATGGACGCTGAAAAACGGTTGTCAAATTTTGTTAGAATCGGCAAGAGTGGGTTGGAAGAACCAGAAATGGAACAAAAACGGGCTTTCGTTCGAATAGGAAAAATTCCTTCTTCGGCCTTTGTCAGAATTGGACGAATGCCTCTTTATGACGCTATCTTGCAGAAACCGCTTGGATATTATAACGTTGCTCGTCGTATGGGCAAATCTTCGTTCGTAAGAATAGGCAAGAGAAACAATGAAGCTTAAAATCTTCGACTTGACCAAATGTAACATTTTGAACTCATCATAAAATACTCCTGTTACGGAAGAATTCTTGACTTCCAATTTATGTTTCTATCAAGAATGGTAGGGTTATGTTTTTCTTCCGTCCATGGATGAAACTTCTAAATTACGTACAACATTTGCAACAATTATTTAGGATATTTTGGCTATTCTGTAATCTTTTCATCTTTTATGTGGTATTATTCCATGGGAATGGATGTGCTGCAACTCTGACTTCTATTACTTAAACAATCTAAGGATTTTGCAATTGCGAACGTGGTCCCCGTAATGGTCATCGGAATAGTTTGTACTGAATTGCATTTACAATCAAACTTTCAAATTATATTACAAATATTAAATGATATCTTATGCAGTGTGTTCCTCATTAAAAGAGGGAATTCGGTAGAAATATTGTGATAACGAACTTGAGCAATAAAATCACAAAAATCATTCGTAGGTCTCTTCGGTTCCGACGCTGTTGTTGAATTTGTGAACTATATTGTTGACTGTTGAGTGAAACGTTTAAACTCACAAGAGAGAAGAATGTAAGGGAGCGTTGGTTATATACCCCCAAAGTACACCTTTCCTCTTGTGAGTGGTGGCATTGAGTTGTCAGTTGTAAATTAAAACAAACCATTAAATTGTTAAACAATGTCTTTTTTTATTGTGTTTGCTGGCAAATCTAGAGACAGTCACGTAATGGCTTTGTGATCGTATTTGATTCCATACTGTGCCCCAATGGACCTGGTCCAAATCAGTAGGATTCAAGCTTCGGAATAAAAAACCTACGTTCAAAAATTTATATCGACTATTCATCGTCGTTGAGTTAATTGCTGTCGGATGCTAATATTCTCGAACAGATCCATCGAACCGGAAGTGAGTGAAACATTGAATACTAGTAACTGCAATCAACTGGATATTGTCAGCTCCCAACCGGGCAGATGACAGTCGGATTCAACTATTTGCTATATAAAATATTTTGTTGGCGGCAACTGACAGCAAATTTCAGCGATTGATCAGATTATCTCAGTTGCTTACAGTCGTTTGATAATAAGTTGCTATAGGGTTCTGCCAGTTGCAAAGTCGTCCTGAACCCTCACTTATGCATCACAATAATTTTTTCAATTACTTGAAAACAAAATCCGCGGCCAATATCAACAAGTAAACAGATCTAATTATTGACAATAATTAAATATAAATCTGACTTCAAAATCCAGCGATTGCTTAAAGGGTGCTAGAAGTCGTTGAAAATTCAGCTGCTCTCAGGTTTTGCCAGTTTTTGCGAAGTCCTTGATGTCACAAACGTTTGTTTGAATTTTTCGAAAACTGAAAACACGAACAATATCAATAAGTGATTCTTTGTAGATCATTATCATAATATTTGATGTGATCTCATAACAAATGCTACAATTCTTTACATTATCAATTATCTTTATCACAAGTATCAGAAGATAATTAAATTTTACTAGAACTAAATAATTTAAGCTCAGGTGACACGCTGCGTGTTTAACAAACAATAAAATTACAGAAAAATACTGCCTAGATATCTCTCGAGGTTTCATTCAATTATTGTTCTGTTTCCGGTGAAATAGTTACAGACAAGACATCAAAGCAAAGACATATTACAATACCGTTTTATCTTAAAAAAGATATATATAGTACAAAATACTCGTGTAATTTACCTATGAAAAAATCATAATCACAAAATCTGTGTTTTATGTTGCAAAAAAATGGACATATCAATTGGTACTGTCGTTGTCCTATGTTCTATTTTGATGCCATATTTCTGGATTATCAGCTAAATCGAAAAGCTCATTCTTACTTTTATTTGTAAAAAACAGCAAGTAACATTTTAACACAGAATGAATATGCACCATTTTACCTTAAGAACCTTATCCACTTTTTCATTCAGCATAGGCTCAATTTTTTATTAATTGAAAATTTATTTCATTAAAAATTTCTCAATCACGTGACATTTGACCGACAACTTAGGTTAGGTTCTAAGTAAGTATGAGCATATTAAGTAAAATTTGTGTGTAAAATCACGTGCGCCATTTTCGGGTCTTGAATATAAGTCAACAATGTTCAGAAGTATTAGAAATCGCATGATTCCTTCAAAGTATATCTCAAACTATGAATATATTTTCCTATGTCTATAGATGTCTTTTCTATATATGGCAGTGTCTCAAGAAATGACGACTCGTCTTTATAACTTTCAAATGCAGATAATTCTGGTCACACCTGGATTTGAAGACTCACATTTCGATGGTGATCCATGAACACTACTATTGAATGGCTAAGCTAAAAAAAATCCTGTTCCTGAGACTAAGTTATGAATCCTCAGTTCTGTTTATCAATAAAAAATAATTATACACATTATTTACCCTAGTACGAACAGATATCAATTTAACACAGAAGTAGTTTTCACTCTTTGTACACGTATACTATCTTGACGCAATAAAAAGACCGTGTACTTACTATCCTATCTGTAAAACGAAACCAAAATCCAAACAACATATTGGCGAAACATTAGCAGCTAATGAACTTTTCACACGAGGAAATATATCAATCATAAGTGAGTAAGTATTTCATAATGAAAAGTGGTATCTATGAACTACATCATAGATAAGATCCAGTGACGAAAATGTCTGCACATCAAGAGTCACACGTCGAAGGCTCGAAACAAAATTGCAAAAATTGATAATGAGATACTTCCGCATTTTTTTTTTTATAAAAGTACCTTGCAGGTAGGCTTCGAAAGGACTGTTAGTTCAAATAATGATCTATAAGGAGATTACTTACAGTCCAATTATCATTACTCACTGTCTTGTAGCCTTTGACTATGTCTTCAAATGGCACCAGGGAGTCTAACCATCTACTCCAGTCGTTTGTTTTATGCTACATTTTTTCTACTTTCGGTTGGTCCAAAAAAACCTCATGTGGCTTAGAAGCCAGCAAATTGTGACTAACAAAAAGATAACCGTTTTCTAAGTGCTGATACGATAATTATTTGTAATCTGTACTTGACGTAGGGAAAGCGCCTTCGCATCCATCATTCCGACATGCTTGTTAATTTTGTCATTCCGGAAAAAAAGATGCTCGAACTCCGTATCCTTTTGGTAATCATACTTCTGAAGGGTTATCGGTTACTATCCTATGTAGACTAAAACAGCTTGATCAATTCTGTTTCGAGAAGCACTTTAAGACCGAGTGATCTGGTTGGATGCGTTTAAAGTTCAACTGGTATAAGATCTATGGAATAATTATTATCTATGGATATATTGAACGGGGAATACTAATATACCAGCACATTTACCTACGTCTCGGTCAACTGTAACAAAATCCTACTACTTGTCTTACAATACATTGATTACGGTTGTTTACACTATTATATTTGGTAATTAAAGTGTACAACACTCTAAAAAGCGTGAGGACACACACGTATTGGTATTGTACAGTACATTTTAATTTTGGAATCTTAGGTCGTCAAGATTCTGATGGCTGAAATTACCCTCTATCGTTGCACCTTTACAATTCAACTGTCGGCATATGTCAAGTTAGTTGACAAGACATTTACTATTAGGATCAGGGCATCACAAGAGTTAAACGACCCTTTTTCCCTCAAGAGATAGTTCGTGCAATTAGATTAACTAACATCGAAAAGGTTTTGAAATATAGTCGCAATTTAGTTGTAGGTTTTTGTCAGAAGAAAAATAACAAATGTTTTCTTCAAGTGAACAAATAACATTTCACATAGTTTTCATCCTTTTTAGTTGATCAACTTTTAAGGCTATATACAATGAAAAAATAGTTCATAGTGAACCAACCATGAACAATGTGTTGCAAACATATCAATGACATAGTTTCAAATAACTTGAAAATGATTAATTATTGAAATTATTTGATTAACCTAACTTTCTGGAGGATATCGAACTTTTGTGAACCGCAGAAAAGAATTTCATATAAGATGGGTTGTAGTCGTTATAGAAACAATAAGAAATGCAACAACCCAAAAATGTTATGAATAAAAAATAAGAAAAATGTTTCGCATGGTTCATCTTTATTGTAGATCAAGTAAACAATATTCTACTCGTCATATAAACATAGTGATATGCTCAATTATCACATTACACAGTCAATTGGATATATAAAGGTCACTCAAGGCTTGCATTATGTTCTTATTCCCCTTCAAAAATCATTATTCTTCAGATTTGATTAAGAACAATTTTCTACAACTACATCAGTTAGTTATTTCAATAGGGCTGCAGGTATTTTACATTTTGATTGAAATAAAGATTTATAGCAGTCTATATTATCGAGCCAATATGTATAATCTATCGAAGCATTTAACACGTCGAATGTCAGTAGGTGTATTATGTTTTAATTTGCGACTTAAATGAAGGATTTTCATGAAATTGCTGCAATGACCATGTTTCATTTTGTATTCAAACGCAATGATATTATCATTCATGTAGCCGCAAGAAATCTGATAAAATGTGCTTGGATGAGTTCTTACGATAACCAAACAAGATTGTTTTATCATTGTCAAGTCATATTTTATTAAAATATAAGATCCGTTATAGACATCCGAGTTTTTAATTAATAACACCAAGAATTCAGCTGAGAATTTAGCGGGGATTATTATTGATGATTCAATATTCTTCACGATCTTCCGGAGACAATATTTTTTGATAGGAGATCAACACCATATTAAGTTTGATAGCTGATATGATTTAAAGGTACGCTCTTTTCCAGTGGCGCAACTTCCATAGGGACTGGTTGAACCACGTTCACCGACCCCACCCTGAAAAACAATACATAATTAAAATAATGTACCTTAGGGTACCATTATCTACCATTAACAGGAATTAAGTTGACTTACAGAAGAAACTCACAATATACATTTTGTTAAGAAAAATTCTCACTCAACCTGTACAGATCTACATTGCTCTGCTCCTTTAGAATTTTAACATAGCTGAATTTTATGTCACTAAGTTTTGTATTTTTGCACACATTGAAATCAGAAACCCAGCATAATATTGGATTAATGATATCTGTAAAAGCTGTCAAGAGTCGAGCATGAAATTGTTAATCATAATCAAATAGAACATGTCAATTACTATTTACTATATGTGGCAGTGGGACTTTTGTCTGCATCATTTTAAATTTCATTAGATTTGGAAACATTCTAGTAAAGAAAATTATGAACATTAACAATTTGATCACTATAATAATACATGATTTATAAACCTGATTATAACTAAGATAAATAGAAACCTCCTACATGTAATATGCTCAACTGATTTCTCTATTAAAATCTGAGAAAGGTTAATGACGAGGTCGAACAGTGACATGTTTGATTGGCTGTTGTTCTATATGCATGATTTCTTTGACAAATTATCTGATCTATTGTTTGACAGTGATTTATTTTAGCGGTCATTATGACTTTTGAGGAACATTCAGACTAAAATGTTATCCATATTACAATTTATAAATGACACAGCTTCATCGGTTAATAACCATACATGTAATGTTTAAAGATGAATAACCTACCAATGAAGTACCAAATGTCGTTGGAAAGTTAGAAGATGTTCATCCTTTCAGAATACCTGATCCACCCTTGATGACAATTTACAGATAAAATACTAATTGGTAT